CGGATACAGCTTCCGTACTTTGTTCATTGGCAATTTGGAGGTTATTTCCAGTTTGTTGGCGACTAATAACATTTTGAAGTTGGAGCTTTTCCTCCTCCGATGAGGCTAAAGCTAATTTTAGTTGTATGATTTCTTCGCGTAGCTCATCTACGGCGTTTTTTCGTGGTGTAATAGTGCGATCGATTTCATCGCCGCTATTTTCGCTGCTGTTAGGCATTTCTGCAACGTTGGAGTTTTCCTTGTTGCGGCGCAGGTTATAACGTGAATGTTGTTCGGCCTTACGTGTACGTGTAAGATGTGAATCTTTCATTTAAACAACATATAAAATTTACGGCAATTCAATTTGCGTTCGAATAAATATTAAAATAATGTTGAAGACGGCGACCAATTTAAATGAAACGCACGAAATATTTATAACAATACAGTTTTGTATAGTTTTAATATCTGATGGATGTGGATAAAATTTGATCAGTAAAAAAGAAAATTCATTACAATCTGAAGCAACTTACTTATTCGTGCTCTTCTTGTGATTCGTTCCAAAAGAAAGACCCGGAAGCGTACAAACAATATGGCTACAAATTATGCAGAGTTGCTTATAATAGTACATAGTGTTGGCGAACTATGTATTTTTGAATTTGGTGTAAACTTGTTGTTAGTGTCGTGAGTTATGTTGCTATATGGTGTAAACCCACTGTTAGTGTTGTCGAATTATATATTGGCCCTTCTGCCAACTCTGCTCCTGCTGGAATAATCGAAATGTTTGTCATCCCTAAATTTTGTATTGTTCATTTAAATTTTACCAGCACAGCAGGAGGGAGCAAAAACGAATGTAAGTTTATATACCTTTCTAATTTTACTTCAGATTTACATTGTACCTATTTTATTAGGAAATAAAAACCTGCGTGAAGCCATTATGTGCTTGTCACCGCTCGTATAAAGCGAATATTGCTCGTTTTTATTCCTTTGCGTCCCTCGGTGCCGGAACATCTTTTTATTTCATTCCTTTGCTATTTAAACGTATTTGCACCCAACCCCGAGGCTTAAACATCACCAACGAAAGCCGGTTAACAGAGATCCGGACTACAATAACTAAAACCGGTTAACAGAGGCCCGGTCAACAAATTTGATTAAAGGTCGTTAGGCGGGCGTTCACGAGCATTGAACTGGCGATTTTGTGAAGCTGTCTCGACGATTCCTTGATAGTGAGGCCGCGAAGGTGAAGTGAACGAGGGTGATTGGGGTAAGTTCGGTGGTGTGTAGTGTGTGTGTTATATTTAGTCAACATAAAGCGCAATTAGCTGAGCAGGCTTCATAACGGTAGAAGCGCGTGTCTAATAGAAAATAGCGGTTTGCGGCCATTTTAAAGAACATGGTTTTAACTCGTTCAGCATCCAGTATGCAAGACGAGGACAACAACAGCAACGACGAAGTGAATACGACTATGCGTGAACAGGGTGCAGCAATGAATTCGCAACAACCATTGCCACTTGAAACACAAATGATTGCTATGGCGAAGCAGTTGCAAGAGCTTACAAATGCCATAGCGAAACTAAGTAATTTAGGTGATAATGCTCCTCCAACCTCTAATGAGCAAATGGCTCCCAGCATCGCTCCCTCTTTAGTAAGTGGTCCTGAGGCAAGTAGCGCTTTAATTGTAGAAACTTTAGCAGACCTAAACCGAACATTGGCCATCACCAGATCGAATGCTAGTAAAAAGTTACACGATCTTCCAGAATTCGATGGAAAACATGAAGCGTGGCCAATGTTTCGCGAATCCTTTTATATGACCACCGAAGAATATGGCTACAACGAACGGCAAAATATGCTACGGCTTTAAAAGGCAATTAGGGGCGGGGCGCGTGAGGTAGTCGAATGTTTACTAATCCATAGCAGCAATGTACCCCGCGTTATGGAAGCATTGCACGAGCGTTTCGGAAGGTCGGAATTGTTAGTAAAAAGTCAAATTGCACGAATACGTAACTTTTCACAAATCTCAGAAAATCGTTTAGAGTTATTGGTACCTTTCGCTACGAAGGTTCAAAATTTGGCGACCTTTCTAGAATCTGCAGGGTGTGAGTACCACCTGAGTAATCCTACTCTTATGGAAGAACTACTTCTCAAGCTCCCCATACAGCGGCGTTTAGACTGGGCACGTTATGCAGCGAATATTGTACCGAGACCTACGGGAAGTCACTTCAGCAACTGGATGCAAGAGCTATCGCGTGTGGTAATCGCGGCCGGCATTACTTCAAGCTCACAAGCGCGTTCATCAGAAGAAAGAGGCGAAGCTCGAGGAAGGTTTTTTCATACGGATCACGTCCAGAGCGCCAGTCGGACTCCATGTAAGCTGTGTTCGGAGGCACACCATTTATCGAAGTAAAAGCGTTTTCTCGAAATGAATCACACATCAAGGTGGAGACTTGTGCGCGAAGGAAAACTATGTTTTAATTGCCTGAAGAGTGGTCACAGAAGCAACAGGTGTACGTACAAGCATAAATGCTCGGAGCGTTATTGCTCAAGGATGGTTCATGAGCTATTACATGCCGACGAAGCTACAAATACGGGTACGTGCGAGGTACAGTACGAGACTCAACGCTCACAACAGCAGCTGATTCTTACCAACACTACGAGGCAACCAGGGAGTTCGAAGGTGCTATTCAAGATCTTGTCAGTGACGCTGTATGCCAATGAAAAGGAGATACGATGCTATGCCTTCTTGGACGAGGGTTCATCAATATCGCTGATGAACAGGAGTTTAGCTGACAGGCTCGGACTAAAAGGTACGAAAGAGAAGTTGATGCTGCAGTGGCTTGGAAACAACACGGTAACCAAGTTGGCGTTTGGGGTTGATATACAAATTTCTAACCCTTTGCCCGGAAGCAAAAAATTCCGCATGAAGAATGTCAAGGTCGTCGACGATTTACAACTCCCCAAGCAAACCATGGATATTTCTGAGCTGCAATGTAAATATAGATATACGCAGCATCTACCAATTGCAAGTTTTAATTCGGCGTGTCCTCAACTGTTAATCGGACTTGATAATGCATACTTGGGAGTAGCGAAGAGAACGATAGCAGATGGACAACAAGGTCCAGCAGTGGTCTTAACGAAGCTTGGCTGGCTAGTGTACGGCAAGGGTAGTCAACGAGAAATCTCCGAATATGAGCAGCACCATTCGTTTTTTGCGCAAGTGGGAAGCGAAGATACTTTAGAAAATTTGGTAAGAAATCACATCGAAGATGATGCCCTGAGCGTTAACTCCGAAGCAAGGCACGTAGACAGCGCCGCTATAACGAGGGCAAAAGATCTTCTCGAGCAAACAACAGCGAGAAAGGAGAGACGTTTTGAAACAGGGCTCTTGTGGAAGAGCGATCATGTCTTCTTACCTGACAGTAAGCAGATGGCTAAGAAAAGGCTGTTCGCGTTAGAGAAAAAATTCGGTCGTCATGAAGATTTCTGGAAGCAGTATACGCATATCATGGAAGAATACCAGAAGGCTATGCGTGGCGCTTGAGCGAAGAAGAGGTTCAACAAACGGGAAGTCGAACGTGGTATTTACCTCACTTCGGAGTTCGCAATATGAACAAACCAAAAAAGCTACGGCTAGTATTTGATGCCGCTGCCCAAGCAGAAGGAGTTTCTCTGAATTCAGTCCTGCTCAGCGGGCCAGACTTGTGCCAGTTGTTAACCACGATTTTTATGAAGTTCAGACAAAAGGCGATAGGTGTGTGCGGAGACATACTGGAAATGTTCCATCAAGTGGAAATACGGCGGGAAGACCAAAACTCACAACGCTTCTTATGGAGAAGGAATACTAACGAGGTCATCAGCGAATACGTAATGTCAGTCATGACGTTTGGAGCGACTTGCTCGCCATGTTCAGTTCAGTTTGTAAAAAACAAGAACGCGGAAGAGTTTCAAGCAGCCTTTCCCAACGCCGTAAAAGCAATTATTGATAACGACTATGTCGATGACTTCGTACACTGCTTTAGCACACCGGAAGAAGCCGTACAAACAACAAATGAAGTGCGTTGGATTCATAAACAAGGCGGTTTCGATTTAAAGCGGTTCGTATCGAATGCCAAGAGTGTCACTGAGCAGTTAAACGGTGATGCAGCTACAGCAGCAGACTTCAGCCTCGATAAGGATGGTTTCCCGAAAGTCCTGGGTATGTATTGGGATACTGCGGAAGATATTCTAAAATTTGCGCTTATTCTTAGTAAGGTCGATAAAGCTGTAGTCAATGGCGAAAGAAGACCCACGAAACGTGAAGCATTGGGTATAGCAATGTCGGTGTTTGACCCTTTCGGCCTAGCATCGGAGATTACATTAGCAGCTAAACTGGTACTACAAGCTGTGTGGAGACGGAAGACGGAATGGGACGAAAGTATACCGAAAGATGCGTACGAAATGTGGCTAAAGTGGGTTAAAATGTTGGAGCAAATTCAAAATTTAAGCATTCTACGATGTTACGACGAGAATTTCCAGTGGAGCTACACGTGTTCGTAGATGCAAGCGAGGCGGCGTATGCAGCAGTAGCATATTGGAGAATCGACGGATTAGAAGGAGCGACCAAACTGGCCTTTGTAATGGGGAAAGCGAAATGCGCTCCCTTAAAACTCACTACGGTTCCACGGTTGGAGCTACAGTCGGCGGTCCTGTGCAACCGCTACGAGTTGGAGACGTCGTCTTGGTCGTCGGTAGCAACATTCATCGTTCCCGATGGCCGAGGGTAAAGTGACTCGAGTGTTTCCTGGCAAAGACTCACAGGTCCGAAGTGCCGAAGTACAAACCCAAACAGGGGTGTTCAGACGTTGGTGTAAACTTGTTGTTAGTGTCGTGAGTTATTGTTGCTATTTGTTTAGTAAGTGGCCCACCTATTTCGGGGTATTGCGTCCAAAGGGGTGACCCGATCCAAAAAAAAAATTGCACACACTTGTAGCCAAGGGTCTACCCATTATTTTAACATCCACTATTGTAATTTTTGGTCACTAATTTATTTACAAATTGGGTTTGAAATATGCCCTTTTTTGTAAAATTTGGAAATTAGCGTACATTTATCACTCCTATTCTCCTTAAAGCAGCCACTTCACCAATTCATTTTTGTATTCCCCTTCACTTTACACTTTACTCGATTAGTTATAACTTGATTTACGACTTTAATATTAACCAATTAATCACAATTCATTAAATAAAAACACCTTCAAAATCATGCGTCTGACTTTGGTTGCACATGCAAATTAAATGGCGGAGTTCAGCTGTCAAACTCCGAAATATGCAAAAGAATGAGANCTTGAGGGAAATTTGAGCAAAAATCAAAATTTTTTGATTTTCTGGCCGCCATGTTGATGTTTGATCAAACCGCTTGCGTTGTGTATAGCAAAATCGCCTCATTCGCAACGAAATTTTCACCGAGTAAGGACGTAAGAGAGGAAAATGAAAGAAAACCATAATATTTAGCATTGCGAACTGGAAGAAAACTAAAATTCTTTGCTTGAACGAGTCATGTTTGCATGGTGTATGGCGAAATGGGAAAAGTAGGTTTGAAGAATGTTTGACAAGCCGCTTGTGTGGTGTATTTCGCTCTTAAGTTTTATCAGTAACACCCGCAATACAAAATACATGAGGTTGTTGTTGTTGTAATCTAAATACGCCAGTAACACCACCAAGGCGAATTTATACAAGGTGGTGTTACTGGCGAATTTAGATTTTCTCCGCGATACTTATTAATAGTTGTGTTTCTTTAAAAATAATCCAGTAACTTGCCAGCAACTCTCCGGTAACTCTATTTCTAACAATTCGCTATCATAGAAAAAATTTGCAAAAAAGTACGCGAACGCTATTCCAGTAATAATTTGCAAGTATCATGAATAGCTGATAAATTCGTTGTTTATTCGCAGGAATTTCCTAATAAAACAATATATTTTATATTTAAATAGGTTTAGTTTGTGAATTTCAACACTAAACCCCACAAACAGTTTCCTTATTACTTTAAATTTCATCCAGCGACATGCGATCAGCTGTTTTTCGTACTGGCAAATTCTTACAAGTGCAAATTTATCCAGTAAAATCCACTAAAAACTTGCAACTTCAACTGTCATTTTTCGCTCTCTGAATTTCCCCTACTTTGCAAGTTTTTGCGTACGAAAACGCCAAAACATGAAAATTTGTACAAACTTTTACTGGATTTTACTGGAAATGAGTAAACAAACGCAATTAATATAAGGTGTTTACTGGCGAATTTAGATTTTCCCCTCAGTACTACTGAATGTCAAAATGATGTTTGTTTTAATATGAACTCGCCTTGTTTACAACACACACATCATTTTGACCAAGGCGAATTTATACAAGGTGGTGTTACTGGCGAATTTAGATTTTCGCCGCGGTACTTCTTAATGTCCAAGGCGAATTTATACAAGGTGGTGTTGATGTGTGACAAATTATACGCTGAGGTCCATACTGTCATTGGTATGAGTTACAACAAACGCATCATTTTGCCGTAATGGCCTCCACGGCGAAAAACTCAGCTGGCGCCCCAATACCACCTTGTTTAATACATTTTGGCCAAAATGATGTGTTTGTTGTAAACAAGGCGAATTCATATTACAACAAACACATCATTTTGACATAAAGAAGTACCGCGGCGAAAATTTAAATTCGCCATCAACACCACCAAGGCGAATTTATACAAGATGGTGTAAAATCAGCTGATTTATTCGCCTTAAATGTATTTTGTTTTTGCTTTTACTGATTTGACAACACACCCATCAAAAGCAAAAACAAAATACATGTAAACTTTGGAGCGAACTGAGATATGACATAACACCCTCCATACAAAATACATATGGTTGTCGTTGTTGTAATCTAAATTCGCCTTGAACCAAGGCGAATTTATACAAGGTGGTATTGATGGCGAATTTAGATTCTCGCCGCGGTACTTTTCAATGTCAAAATGATGTTTGTTGTAAACAAGGCGAATTCATATTACAACAAACCCACATTTTGACATTAGGAAGTACCGCGGCGAAAACCTAAAATTGGCCAGTAACCAAGGCGAATTTATAGAAGGTGGTGTTCAAGGCAAGGCGAATTTATACAAGGTGGGGTTACTGGCGAATTTAGATTCTCGCCGCGGTACTTTTCAATGTCAAAATGATGTTTGTTGTAAACAAGGCGAATTCATATTACAACAAACCCACATTTTGACATTAGGAAGTACCGCGGCGAAAACCTAAAATTGGCCAGTAACCAAGGCGAATTTATAGAAGGTGGTGTTCAAGGCAAGGCGAATTTATACAAGGTGGGGTTACTGGCGAATTTAGATTCTCGCCGCGGTACTTTTCAAATATCAAAATGATGTTTGTCGTAAACAAGGCGAATTTATATTACAACAAACACATCATTTTGACATAAAGAAGTACCGCGGCGAAAATCTAAATTCGCCATCAACACCACCTTGTATAAATTCGCCTTGGTTCAAGGCGAATTTAGATTACAACAACGACAACCATATGTATTTTGTATGGAGGGTGTTATGTCATATCTCAGTTCGCTCCAAAGTTTACATGTATTTTGTTTTTGCTTTTGATGGGTGTGTTGTCAAATCAGTAAAAGCAAAAANGATTCCAAAAAATTTGATTGAAAAGTTTAAAATTTGCATGAAAATTTATTGAATTTTATATATCTGTGGACATTGACAAAATAATTTAAGTCTGTAAATAGTATATGTCGACAAAATATATTTTACCGTCAAGGAGAAACATGTGCAATTCGAGAGAAATGCTAAATTATTTTATCGCTATTCGCAACCTTTAAAAATGTTTTTGTTTGCAACAACTGCATGTTTTAATATAAATAAAAATTATAGCTTTGAAGGCAAAAAGAGCTTTGCCGACTTATGTATGCTATTTTCTTTGTCCGTGAAAGATAGACTTAAGTTGTTTGGTCAAATGTCCACAGATATATAATATTACACATTTTTTTTTTGTTGTAGAATGCACCATATTTTTACAAAAAAAGGTAATTCTCTAGGGTGGGGTAACAACCCCTAAAAAAGGTGCGGAAAAGTCGGGAGGGGTACCAAACGATGCGTTTCGGTCCCCTTAATAACAATCCGGAGGGGGCAGATAATATTATCAACCATTTAAAAGTTATGAACAAAAAACTTTTGTTAAATTTCGTTGTTTTCTATGAGCAATTACCACGTCAAAAATGCAAAAAATGCCGGTTGTTCAATGTCTGATTAGCACAAATCGGAGGTAGAAGCTCCGGTTAAGCACAACTACTGCTTTATCGATCACATGTTACATGCATGATGTCGAAATCGTCGATAGTGTAGTGGTAGTGATAACCAGACATTGAACAACCGGCCCTAAAAACGTTTCCGGTTATTATTTTATGCAAACCAAATCATTTATTCACTTTTATTTTATATATTTCGTTAATAAAACAGAGTAAACAAACTTTGCGCCTGCTAAAATTATTATAACCTCAAATCGCTGGTATTGCCACTTTATTTCACGTTTCATTTGCGCTATTATACTCAGTTTACACTATACACTTCTTCTTCTTCTGTAGCTCGTTTCTGTAAAAATTCTCTACCAAGACGAATTGAGATATGAATTTGCCGCCCTGTTCTCTACTGCTAACTGCCGTTGCGTTATCCATTGTCGACGAGTGTCAGCGCGCGCTATCCCCAAATCAACGCGTCGTAATTTTTGACGTTTTCTCAGATCCTCTCGTTTTTATTCTCGTTTCCTCTTTTACTTTTTTGTCCTTTCTCTTTCTTTCCGTCTTCTGCATCCAACTTCAACACGTAACGCCCTGTCAAAAATGAAAATTCCATTTGCTCGGCGTTAGCGCCGCGTTATTGTGGGATGCTTCATACAAATTGTATGGGCATGAGGATTTTTGACAGGTGTTTGGCGCTTGACGCGCCAATTTAGGGATGGCAGTAATGAGTAGTAGAGAATGACGCAAGGTGTATTAAACAAGGTGGTGTTGGGGCGACAGCTGAGTTTTTCGCCGTGGAGGCCATTACGTCAAAATGATGTGTTTGTTGTAACTCATACCAATGACAGTATGGACATCAGCGTATAATTTGTTAGTGTAATTTTTTACTTATATACGGCCAACACCACCTTGTTAAATACGCCTTGGAATTTATTTATTTATTTATTTAATTATAAGTCTTTGGAATACAATCCTTACAGACTATGTACTTAACTAATTTATAGATTACAAACTAATTTTGTGCATAAATCAAACCACTTATAAGGCAGAATTAAGCATCGAGAAAAAAGCATCACTTTGCATCGAAAAATCCAAGGTGATAGCATCACTTAGTGAATTAAACTCTCGTAAAGCACGATTAACAGGAGCATTACAAGAATTGAGAAGAAGAGAAAACGAGCAAGAAGAGGTTATTGAACACAAAACTAGCAAAAACTTGCAAGAGAACAGTTGTTGCACTGCTTTGACAATCCGCTGTAAACGTTTTACTATTTATAAATCAGTTTTAAACTCTTTGCTTTACACACAAGCACTTACACTGTCCAGTACATCATTAATATTATGATTTCCACTCATTTTACTTTTGTTTGTGCCAAGGCGAATCAATATAAGGTGATAGCAGGAG